TGGAGTTATCTGCTTTTGCTATAAAACAAACTTTTAATATGTAAAAAACATACTTTCAGTGAACTTTAATTTTGTAAATTACCTGTATTTGTTTAAGTTATTATTACTTAATCAAAACAACCCAACTGCAGTTTGATTGATATTACTTGGAATGCGCAATAAAAAAACATGATTTCTGAAAAAAAAAATTAAAACGGAGTTATCGGTTTTTGCAAATGAACACTTAATTTCTTAATCATTACAAATTAATTTAAAATATTTTTTAAGACCTGAGTTTTTTATTGATCTAAATGTACAAATACAGTAAAATCTGAGACATAATTGAAAATCCGCAACTTTTTTTTTTTCAATTTAAAAATAAACGGAAAGCTTCAGTTTCTCTAGAAATTTAAAACAAATACAACTTTTGACATAAAATGATTATTTAGGTGGTTCACATTTTCTTGGTTACAATCAAATGTAAGCAAATTGAAGCAAAATAGACACCAAATGCTAAGCGATTCTGTTAATTCAACAACTACGCTGTAACAAGGACACCTTAAAATAAAGTGTAACTGTAAAACATGCTGAAAATAAATGGTTTTTCTCATTTATTATTAGCTCATGAGTCTCTAAATGTCGCCCCCTGCAGGTGCGGTGGACCAAGACAGCAGGCAGCGCTTCCGACAAGTTCCAGGAGACGTCCATCTTCAATGAGACTCTACGGATCCCCAACATCCAGAGAGTGCAGGGCGGCCGCTACTACTGCAAAGCTGAGAACGGGGTGGGGGTGGCTGCCATCAAGTCCATTCGCGTAGATGTGCAGTGTAAGTGATAGGGCCACGATCCCTCCTCTTCCCGGCCTGATCCCTCCAGGATTTCCTGCAGGAGGTGAATCAGTGTGAACTCTCCAGAGCTCCATCTCTGTCCTAGTGCTGGATATCGGTGTGGGAGGTTATGGAAAACAGGAGGGGAAACCATGCTCAGTTGAGCTGGCAAGACAAAAGAGGAAACAAATTGTAACACCCAGCAGCTTTTGAGGAGATTTAATGAGCAGTGATTGATGGACATATGGGCTGCACTGGACAGATGCGTCTGGAGAGTTCAGGTGAATGAATTGGAAGGATCTCGAGTGAGAGTTGAAGCTGTAGTTCAGGCAGGGTCACACTCTTTATGTGTGTAAGGGATTCCCTGCAGTGCTGCCCAGCACAACTGACCCACTGTCCCGTTGAGCCAAGGGTCAGGTCAGCGGCGACAGCCAGACCCCACAAAAAACACCTACAATAGACCCCTTACGCTATCAGATCAACCTCACATTCAACACTAACAACCTTAAGGGGTATTCACTCAGAACTACTTTTGAATTTTAATTTTTACATTTTATTATTTTTTATTAAACTGGATCTCTTCCCAAATCATCTCTCCCTAACATTTTTGTCTCGTTTTAAAATTTCATTCATAGTTTTTGTCATTCAAATGAGTTTTTATTTCGTTATCATCTCGTTTTCGTCAGAAACAATGTAAAAAAAATTAACAGTCTGAGACCTCATTGAAAACCTGCAACTTTTTTCATTTAAAAATGTAAACAAACAGAAAGCTTAAGTTTCTCTAGAACGGTTACATTCAACACTAACAACCTTAAGGGTTGTTCACTCAGAACTAGTTTAGATTTTTTTAATGTATTAAAATTAATTAAATACAATATATTAAAATGTATAAAAAAGTAATAAGCAAAAATATGTACCTTATTTTATACATACATAAATTTTTATTGCTTTTTAAAATCTTAAATATTGTTTAAATATACAGTTCAAAAACCTACTGTAATTTTTGTTATAACATTTTTAGATTATTTATTATATAATAATTTATAGCTATTTATAATTTATATAATTTCACCTTTTTTACATTTTTTCTCTAATTTACATTTAAATTTTATATTAAGTATATTTAAAAAAAATACTCAATTAAAAAAAATATTAAAAACAAACTATGAAATATTCTCAAAAAAGTGTACATATATGATACAATTTTGCTTAAAAAATTAAACACGTATTGTATATCAGAAGTAAACAAAAAAATTACAAAGGTCTTGAGATTCATTTTTATGAGGCTTGCTTCAGAAATAATGGACAGCAGAAAACAGCAAAACAGCAGTCGAAATGCTGCTAATTGGTCAAAAAACGTCCGTTTACTGCATGTTAGCACAGAGAAACAATTAAACGGTTAGCTAAACAGACAATTAAGTGTGGTGGAATGCAAAAACACGTTCTGTGTGAACTGGCCCTTATTCTTTCACCCTCACGGCTTTGCACGTCTCTGTTGCAACATATTGTAACCCCTCACAGACTTTTGTATGCTTAATTTACTTCCAGCCGCTAACACTAAGATTCAGTCAGCGATCTCCCTCTGCGATATTCGACCATCACGCTTCCCCCATGGCCCCTCCTCGTCCCCCAGAGGATGGATGTGTTGTTCCATAGGGTTCCCCGTGGGAGGATGATAATTGTGTAGCAGGTAAACAGGGCAGGCTGACAGCTGCTCTGAGTGGAAGCACTCCTGACGGGTGATGCTTGTTCAATTTTCCCCCACTGGCTCCACACGGCTCTCCGGATGACTTTAGCACCACAACACCGGCAATTAGACTCAGGCTGACCAGAGCGGCGAGGCACGGCTCGGACCACCCACAACAAACACACACACAAAACATCCCCCCTCAATCTTCTACAGCACCAAACCCCATTACTGGGAGAAAAGAGAAGTAAGAGAGCAAGTGTGAGCTGTGAGATGGAAAGGTGAGAGGTACAGAAGGTGTGAGAGATAAAGATGGAAGAATTACGAAAATAAGAGCCTCGGAGTGGCCTGATTCTTTTGTCGGGCTGAATAAAAGATCCATGCCGCTTTTATAGCACAACGCCAGCGTTAGCACGCGGCCGGTTTGACACAAGCAGAATTTTAAGAGTTATTTAGTTGGAAAAGTGATGACAAATCTCTCTCTTTTTCCATTGCCTCATTTTCCTGTGAGGTCTCTATTGGTTCACGGCTACGTCCAGGGGCGTTTTAATGTGTTCTGTTAAAGGGACTTTGATATAACCAGTCACTGTTCCGTGTGTGCTGTGCTAAAGCTGTTTGCCTGATTTTATGTCAGCATATTTCATCTATTTAACCTCAGCCTGGCACATGCTACAGAGCCAGACAGCCTTAGTTAACATCAAAGAGAGAGAGAGATGCAGGAGGAAGTGAGAGGTACAGAGCAGCGATGCACAAAACTACATATTTTCAAAATGAAATAGTCTGCGGTTTGTCAGAATGATTATTCAAATAATTAGGTATAATTAGGCTGCTTTAGGGTTTTGCTTTCAAAAACTACTGGACGAGAGGGGTTAGAGGCATATGCTTAAAAGTAATATCTGTTAACTAGACATGTTGTAAACCGCAATTCTACTCACATATTTTCTTAATTTGTATTTTTGTCTTGTTTTACAGTAAAAATATGTAAACATCATTGAATAGGATATATGTGCTTAATAGGCCTATATTATGCAAAACTGCATAATGTATTAAGAAATGTATTTTCCCTTCTTCTTCACTATATTTTAACCTTATAACAAGAATATTAAAAAAAAGTATTTTTTTTATTAAAACAATGTTATTTTAAATTAAATGTAATTAAAAAAATATTTATATAATTTTTTTTGTATATAAAATTATTATTATTATGGTCTTTTTAGATTTGCACAACTTTGACATACTTTTAAAATATTTTTTAATGAAATTATTTGAATAATTTCATGATTTTAATTAAATTTAATAATTTTATATTTTTAAATATATATTCTCGTTATAAGAATGAGATCTAGCGAAGAAGAAAAAATATCCTTTTTAATATATTATGCAATTTTGTGTAATATATTAAGTAAATGTGTGTGTATATATATATATATATATATGTATGATTTTTTACTGAAAAACAAGACAAAAATATTAAGTAATCAAAATATGTTATAAGCGTTGCATTGTATTGCATGTTGAGGTAATAGATATTATAAAAATTATTATTACTATAATTAAAGAGTAAACTTATTTGAAAATATATATATGAAGACAAGTCTTAATATATTATGCAATTTTGCTTCTCAAGTAAATGTATTAGGGATGTAACGGTATGAAAATTTCATATCACGGTTATAGTGACCAAAGTTATCACGATTATCAATATTATCACGGTTTTGTTAAAATTAGATGAACATTGAAACACACTGAAAACATTTCAATAAGTTTTATATTTGAAAATCAACAAACAACAAATACAATTAGCAGATTTTAAACGATAATACTACCGTCAGGGCATTTTATCATGATTTATCGTGAAACCGGTAATCGTTCCATCCCTAAAATGTATCTTGTTTTAATGATTTGTAGATAGCTGATGAACAAATATTGGGATAAAGGTTTTTTTTGACAGTGCAGTCAGGTGTTGGGCGACTAGTTGATGATCCTGACCAATCCTGTGCAGCTAATGCAGATATTGATGGGAACTGAGAAGCCATTAAACACACACACACACACACACACACACACACACTCAGTAGGTG